GGGGGCAGGGAGGGAGGAGGGCAGACCTGGGACCTGCCCATCTCTGCTGCTTCCCCCGGCTGACCTGGGAGCAAGGGGAGCCCCAGAACAGCTTCAGCCAGGGGTTGTGGGGATAAGCTGCACAGGGTGCTGTGCTCTGTTGAAGACAGCTGTGGTAGTGGGTGGCCCCTGTTCTGGAGCCCGCTCTGGTCGGACCTCCCTGGTTTTCCCCATTGGTCTAGGGTGCTGGGCTTAGCTGGGGCCAGTGGCTATAGTGGCAGGCAGGTCCCTCCCCTTCCTGCATTTTGTCACACACCCTCCTTCCCTGTGACTATGTAAGACAGACAGCTCTCCTGTCCTCTGGGTGACAAGAGACATCTTGTGGGGGCGGCAAGGAGCAGGTGCAGGAACAGGGGCCACCCGCTGTCACTGTCCGTAGTAGCAGTGTGAAGCCGCCCTGTTGTGAGCCACCCAGATAAACAAAGCTGTAGTTCTGAAAATGCTGTGCGCTGTTCTTTCTGAGTCATGATGAATACAGAGGGAAGTGTGGTACCACATTGATAGCTAGAACTTCCCCAATCCTTTTGATGTGGTAGATTAAAGGAAAAAATGCAATAAATGTAGCAATGCATTAGGCCAGATTCTCAGCAATGTCACTTCACACTGACTGAGAATCTGTCCCGCTAACTTCAGTTAAAAGATCCACAGCACTTTCACTTATGGGCAGCAGTAGAGATACTTAGAGTATCTGGCCCAAGCAGAGTGCTTCAGTATCTGGATGGTCAAGTGCTGCCTCTGAAGAAGTCCCACTTAACAGCTCTATACTTGCTCTCCTCTGTACAGATGAAAAGATAAAAGCCTCTACTGAACAGATGCTCTAACGATTGGTTGATCCGAAGAGAGACAAAGAAATCTCTATTTTTAAAAAACATGGCAACCACTAAGATTGTAGGACATGTAGGATTCTGATCCTATGCCTGTTAACACAGAAATTAAACCAAGCATAAAGTTCAACAGTGCACATCATTACCTGCTAGCAAATACAAAATGAGCATTCATGCATGATGCTACAATAATTTCTTTCTAGTCTACTCACCTGGTGCCCCTGTGTACATGATGGAAAACACGTTAATCGCTATGGTAGCAGCATAGAACACGGGAAGTGCCCGAAGACCATTGGGCACAGGGTCCTCCTGCAGAATAATGAGGAAAGACAAAGGCTTGTTAATTACATGAGTTTGTTCTACTCATAAGCATCAAAACTGAGAAATGGTAAGGGACATTCACACATCGCCATGTCCATAGTAGGTGGGTGAATCTTCTTGCCTTATTTCCAACCATGCGACTCCTCACACTTCAGCACAGGTGCTCTGGAGAGCTGCTGAGGAAAGGATTTGATTATTTGCATGGGTTCCTGCTGTTACACATGTGGCAACATCTTAGGGAAACATCTCAACACAGTAACCAGATGGAGAACCATGCAGAAACAGAACACAGCATTGTTCTGTGGATGGGTGGTGGACTGGGAGTAAGGAGTCCCCAATTTCATTCCTGGCTTGTGCTTGCTTAGAACAAGCCACTTTCTCTCTGCACTCAGGTTTCCCCTCCCACCCTTTATCTGTCCTGTCTATCTGTATTGCTAGCTCTTTGAGGCAGGGACCCTCTCCTACCACGTTTGTGCAGTAATGCCTAGCACAATGGGGTCGCCAGCTACTACCGTACCACCTCTCCAGTGACTTCTAAGAGCTTGTTTCTAACCTTGTAGCTTAAACTGAAGTGAACAAGGAGTGTTTCTGTCAGTTAACAAAGGCTTTTCAAGAATTAAGATATTAAAATTGTATCAAGGAGGAATAGCAGATTGACAAGAAGATCCAAAATGAGCTTAACATGAACCGTTTCACTCTAAAATCTTACGTGCCTCAGCAGAATGCCAACTGCTGTAAAAGCACTTAACTCCACAGTAACTGAGTATAGGAATGGAGGCATTTCTGAACAGCAGTGTCTGCCTGTCAGGGCTGTGCATGCATTTTCTTGAGGACACGCAGGGTAGGACAGCCATAAACCCCTCAACTCCCTTGCAGCTGAGGGCTCTGAAACATACACCCTAAGGTTGATTCCTGGGGACTTGCAAGGACTACATCTCAAGTCATAGTTACCAAAGGGTAAGTAGCCACCCTTTTTCTGTGATAATGTGTCAGTGTGCATCCCAGTGTAAGTGGCTGATAAGCAGTATCCTTTTGTGACTGCAGGAGGGAGGAGTTCAATTTGCAGTCAGTCAGTCTGTCAAGAAGAGACTGAAGTGCTGTTTGCACAAACTCAGCATCTGACCTGGCTGCCACATCAAGCACATAATATTTAACAAAAGTTAGCAGGCTGCTTGGCATGGCTGTCTGGCAAATCGCAGAGACTGGAACACTCCCGACACAGGCAAAGGCGGCTGCTTGGGCCCTGCCAAGTGTGCCTCGTTGCTCAGAGGGAGAGGCTCACATCCCACTGGCAGCAGGTGGAAATTAACTGCGTTCTACTTCAAGATTCTTCCTGAGACATCTTGGCCTTTAGATGAGCTGGATGGGGCCAGCAGAAGTGGGAAAAACTTGGCCCACTTACAGTAGCAGAGGCAAGTACTGGACCACACCCAAAGAATATAATTTCTTTTTTCTCAGTATCAAGTGTGGCTTCAGGAAGAAGGCTGGGAAGGGAACTGAGGGGGTAGTCAGGTAGAATTCTCAATTAATAGCACCTCAGGGTCAAACTAGAGACCAAGCCATCACTATTTTGCTCTCTCAAAAGGTGTGAAAGGCAAACCAGCCAGGATGGCTTGGAATTGCAGACTCTCCATGCCAATGCTGACAAATCTAAGAAAGGGAGAAAGCCACTTCACCCTTTATGATCTGGTAAAGGAGCATTAGGTAGCACAGGACACAAGTGTAGCCGCAGTGGACACTGCCATTTAAAGTAAATTCTGGGATTGTGTGCATATGTGCATCTATACTGGGATCCATCTTGAGACATACTCAAAGAATAACTCTTATGTTATGTACATCAAGTAGCACAAGTTGCCATTCACACACATCCAAAGCTGTCCAAAACCAGGCTATTGTATTTTTGAAGACCCTATCATAATACGAATGCACAATGGGCTGAGGTTAGGTTGCACATTCATTCCTATCTTTGACTTCTGAGTCCTTAAATACACCAATTTTCTGCTGCACTTGATATGCTGTTTGCACTTTATTTCCAAAACTTACAATAAAAGTGATGGTTAGGGATACCAAATAGTTTGATGTGGCCATCCTTTCATGGAACAATAATCACTTTAATCCCATGTTCCCTATGCTCTAGACAAATTTGGAAGCTCCCCTCCCCCACACTTCATTGTTGATGTTTATTTACATCAGAAATAAAGAATGATGAAGCTGAGGTTACAGGAAGGGTTATTTATACCACATCCATTTAAATTTCCAGCATGACTGCTATTTTGGTGTCTCTCATTTTAGGGCTTTTGTCATGTACTGCTTTCCTGTTTGGCTGCAATGGATGGAGAGGGATGAGAAAGAAGGAAAAAAAAATGATACAGGGCCTTCTGTCTTCCCAAGTCTGCTGGCTTGCAAATCAACACAGATCCTCTGGTAAGGTTGATAACTCAGAGCAGTGGTTGTGAACCAGGGGTACACATGCCCCATGGGATATGCAGAATGGATAATAAAAAATACTGTTTTATAGAGGTGTATTGATACATTGGCCCTATATCAGATTGGCACCGATATAAGGAAAGTTGACTATTGGCAATGGGCTTTTTTTGGCTAATGTGGCCAATAAATGCCCTGTGCATGCGTGCAGCCTTGGCGCAGCACACAGGTGGCTAAGAAAGTAGCATGGAGAGCAGGCAGGTCCAGCTGGTAAGTCTGTTGTGGGGAAAGAGGCGTGGGAGGGGCAGATCGAAGGCCCAGTGGTGAGGGCTGGGGCAGGGGCATGGGCTACACACAGCTGGGGTGAGGCTTAGGACAGGGCTGTGGTTTGTCCAGCAGGTGCGGGGGCTGGTTCCCAGTGCTGCACACACTCCGGGAGGGCATAGGGGAGGGTGTGTGCCCCCAGATCTGTGTGCAGGGCGAGGGTGGGCTGCAGACATCCCAAAATTGACTGTAGCCCCCCCAAAATTGACTGTAGCCCCCCCATGACTCCCCTTCTCAGTGCTGCTGCAGCCTGCCCCAAGCACAGCTCAGCTGAGTCCCCTGCCAGGAAAAGCCCGGTACCACCCCAGCCCCAGCCTGCAGCGGCAGCCTGCCCTGCCCTGCCCTGCCCTGCCCTGCCCCGTCCCATG